ATAATTTTATATTTGTGATATGTAGAAATATATACACACACACACATATACCTGTAGGCACACAAATATATAAATGATTCACAAGGCACTTTGCACTGAGCATTGCTGCCACTGTTTATTTTACTCTTATTAACTCCACTATTAATTCTACTAATAATTTTATAAAGTACTTATTTAACTGCAAAGGGCTATTCATGAAAACCTCCCTCTCACTTGAGGATGCTTATTACAAACTATAGAAACTGAACCCAACTATTATAGCAATCAGTGAATCGATCTATAAGGAGGGGACAGGGGATTTAAAAAGCATTGACTGGATCACAGAACTCAGACCAACAAACCAGGGTTAGAATCTACATAGTCAAGCCCATCCAAAATCATGCCCAGACTGGTCCCAAGCAGACCTCTCTACTGCCAGTGCTGGGCACATGCTTCTACTTCTGCTAGGCATGGATGGTTGTGCTACAACAGGGACACTGCCATCTGAGGACATGGATGAAGCTGCCCTTTGTGGCTGCCATCATTGCTACAAGGATGCCTGTTTCATTGCCCCTTTAGTCCTCTCTTTGGTAGGTGGCTGGCATAAGCGTGTCTGCTCAGTGCTGCGTAAGTCACATGCAAATGCTCTTGCTGCAAGGGAGCCTGGAAAATTGTTTCTCCCTGCCACCAAGAGTCGTAAGGTGGGAAATTCTCCAAATATAGCAAAGAATGCTGGGAAGTCAAACAGGATGATAAGTGTCCATTTTGCTTGTTTCAGGAAATTAAACATTATACAATTTTCATTGTTTAAAAATTCTACTTTTCAGGTTGAATTCAGTCATACAGATAAATTTTTAAATAATGAATTTGTTTGCTAGCTTTGAAAGAAAGCACATGTTTCCTTGGCATAAAAAGTGCTTTCTCAAAGTCTCTGGCTCTTGAGCAGCCAGAAAATTGATTCCATGGCTCTGAGCAGTTCAATAAGAAGCTGACATGTGCATGGTGGGTGGCTATAGAAACACGAGACCTTTTCTAAAGTAACTGAATTTTAGCTCATTTTATGTGTACTTCTGTAGACTCACTCTCTCCATTTGTTAGGGTTTTGGCACAAAAGAGATGTCCACTCAAGAGAATGATTGAAGAGAGAGAGCTTAAGGAAGGACTAATAATAATCTTCTTAGGGAAAGGAAGACAGCGAAGCACCCTGGGCTCCTAAGGGCAGGACACTGTTGTGATGATTAGGTCTGAAGGGGCAAACGAAAGCAGCAGACATGGGACTCCAGAGCTGTGAAAGAGTGAGAAGATGCTGGTAACACACTGCACCATAGACCTTCAGTCCACCTGACTTTAGCACCATGTGGTAGACAGTTCTATGCACTTGATCAGGGTCCCAGTTCAAGAGCACAGGGAGACCATACGAATTTCTGTGCTGTGCTGCTTGGCACTTACTCCAAGGCTGCAGAAGACCACTCAGCTAACACAGAAATGCATGGAATTGGTGTTTCCAGGAGCAACTTCAATCAGTAGTGAACAGGAGTCAATGGATAAATGGCCAAACTCCTCAGCCTCCGTGGAAATTTGTGAGGTACATGCTCCTCTGAGAGTAGCCCAAATGTCTGAGCCCCAGTTGTCCATGGCAATAACCAGATTATTAATAAACACTCTATTGGCTTTTCTCCCTTCCTTCTGCTTCTTGTTATCAACTCCCAGGCAAACCACCAACACTCAACACTCTTTTCTCAGGTGCTGCTTTCAGAGGAACTCAAACGAAGACACAGAAAACCAATGTTTGACAGAGACACAATCACTGCCAACCTGCAACTTGACATAAAGGGAAGTAGGAGAATAAATAACCTATTTACCTATTTCCACTTTATGATGTCCTGCCAGGCCTCTGGGAAGCCAGCAGTGAGAAAACCCAGTTGATGTGGTCTGTAAGGATCAGTCTTACAGGGCACAGAAAAAGAAAGACAGAGAAGGGCTGAGTGTGGATTGGGAGAGGCAAATAAAAAGTATTCATCTCAATCCAACCCTTTATCCACCCGCATCTTCAAAGTCCTTCAACTATTACATTGTTTCAGAGTGATAATTCTGTTGTACAGAATATGCAAAATGTAAAACTTTAGTCACCACCAGAATTCTTATAAGGTATTGGAGGGAAGCAGAGGCAAAGAAACAATTGATATAAAATAAAACTTCTAAAGACCCCATTCTATACTTTACCTTGTTATCCTAAGGTGGTAACTCTAGTTCCATCTACCCCTCTCTGAGGCTTTCCATATCCTCTGCCAGCATCATGGTTGGATGAGGTCCTTTACCTGTTGTGACCCAAACCTTCATTATCACCCACAAGATATCAGAGTACTGGGTGGCACTTTCTCCATTTGGATGCTATAGTTTTCTAATGATCAAGACTAAAAGACAGAATATGTTAGATGTCCCTGGGCTTCTATATTTGGAATCTCCCAAGTTCCAAACAGTCCTTCCAGTCCCCAAGTCAAGCAGGACTCCAGTTTCCCCTTAGTAACACAGTGACTCCTCTCTACTGGTTCAGGTAAAGAAGGCTCCCATAACAGCCAACAGCAAGCTCAGCTTATAATTTATTGGAACCATGGCTGCGATTCCATGGGGGAAGCATTCTACCCTCAGGCACTAGGACCTCCCAACCCATTAAGATCAAGAACAGAGAGAAGGAAGGCAAATTTTTTCTAAGCAGGTTATTTCTTGTAATGGGGAAGACACTTCTACATTCACCCCTGGTTTTCCAGACCTGTGCATTCTTCAGGTGGAGGAGATGGTACCGTATGGCTGTTAGTCACATACTGCAGACCGTAGGATAGCACCCTAACCTCACAGGGTGTTGTCTGCCAGGTAGAACCATAAATGAGGCATCAGCAGGGCCTCTTACTGTTATTTCCAGTATGATAAGCAACCTCTAAAATGGCTGTCAATGATCCCTGCTTCCAGGTATTCATGCCTTTGTGTATTCCCCTTTCCTTGAATACGAGCTGGACCTACTGCCTTGCTTTTAATGAATAGAATACAGCAAAAGTGATGGGCTGTCACTTTAAAGATTAGTTACAAAAAGACTCTAGCTTCTGTCTTGCATGCTCTCTCCTTCTCTCCTGTTTGCTTGCTCTATTGTGAGCTGCTCTCTGGGGAGGTCCACATGGTAAGAAACTGTTATCTACATGGTAAGAAATTGTTATCTCCAGCCAATAGCCAGCCAGGACCTGCAGTCAGCCAGCAACCCTGTGGGTGAGTGAATCCTCCCCTGGTCAAGTCTTGACATGATTACAGCCTTGGCCAATATCTTGCTTATAGCTTTGTGAGAGACCCTAAGAGCTCAGCTAAGCCATGCCCATATTCCTGGCCTATGGAAATTGGGAGATAATATTTGTTTTAAGATGCTATATTTGGGGTAATTTGTTATGCAATAGTAGATAGAAAATATGTCTGTCCAGCTCCTTCTGGATAATAGGGTAAGTGGAAACACTAGTGAATTCTGTAATCATGAACTGCGTGCTATACTTTTGTTGTTGCATATATACTTTTGTTTTGTTTCCTTGTTTGGAGCCAATGTTGCATGGAACACCACTGTAATGAATTAAGCTCTGTATATGTTCCCAAAAGATAGGGTTGGCAAAAACAGTGAGGATAAAGAAAGCAAATTCTGTAAATGAAATGAGTATTTTTCCCTATGAGGACACCCTACCTTCTCCATAATAATAGGGATCCAATACAATCATCCTTCCATCCAGGGCCTGGCTGGTCCCTGGAGGCAGGGTGTCATATTAGAGGCTTATATTGGCTTCTTTTTTTGGGGCAGTGCAGTCTTGGCAATGGTGAGGGTCAGATCAAAGCAGACACGGCAAGGGGACATCTTTGTTGTTGGGTCCATGCCTGCCATCCGCCCTGCTGCCATAAGCACTCTCCATAAACACATGGAGCAGACACAGGGCCATCTGGAAGAAAGACTGACATCCCTCAGATAGATCTTGTCCATTTGATTATTTGGAGCCTCATCTGCAGTAAATGACCTCAGTGATAGGACACAGATTTGGTCACACTTTGTGCCTATTCCCAGAGATCTACCCACATACCTCTCCTCAACCTCCTTGGCACTAATCTTCCAGTCTTGCTCTTTCCAAGTCCTTAGCCTGCCAAAATTTCTACCCACTTGGAGGATTTCCCATCACCACTCTTTTAGGGCCACCCTGGAGTAAGCCTGTAATAGTGGCCATCCACTTCTGGTTGGTGCCTGGATACCACGTAGATCCACCCATACACCTGATCTGTCATTGTCTTCTTTAACCAGCCATGAGACACTTCCATGAAGCCATAGGTGTATTGCAAAGAGAAGAAGGAAGTGCTGTGGGGGTCTGGGCCATTTGTTTATTCAGGGTACTTATTTTATGCATTTCTGACCACAGAGTCTTGCTGCCTTTCTATCTGCATTCTCAGTTGGGTATTCAAAGCTTTTAATGCACACAATCTTTATAATCACCATTGTCACCAGACTGACTAAGAACCACAGGCATTGATCTCAAAACAGTACCCTCCACGTGCATGCTAGCCCATCTCCTGCCACAGCTGGTGATGATATAAGTAATCATGAGGCCACTACAAACCACAGTAACCAATGGCCCACCTCCCACAAGATAGTTAAATGTGTGCTTAAAAAAATGTGTCTGCAACCCTACCAAAAAATCCCATTTTGAAGGTCTGTTTCTGTGGGCTGCTTCTGGTAGCATTTCCTGTCAGTCTCCTGGAAGGAAACAAAATGCACTCTGATGAAGGGGTTTGAAGAGAAGCTAAAGAGGCCACTAGTTACAAATGTGTGCTTGGGTTAGTGAAGCACTCTGGAGTTGACAAAGGAGGAAGCCACCACCACTAGTGATCTAAGGAGAACTGGGTAGCCCTCAGAACCTAGTGGGTCCCCAGGCTCTAAGGGAGATGCGGCTTTTGTAGAGGAGCACAACCATTGTCAACCTGAGGCCTGGCAGTGGACAGCTGGGGAAATAAACACCCTCTCATCTCACTCTCCATTCCCTGCCCTTACCTGCTATTGGCCTTTGACCATAATCAGAGCATAGAAGAGAATGGCGATGTGGTGCATAGATATCAGCCTGCCGGACATTTGGGAAAAGGTGGCAGGTGGATCTGGAGGGGCAGACAGAGACCATTCGGCATGCACCTAATCCCACAGCATGTACCTCATCCTTCCAAGAAGGTAGGAATGGAGTTGGCCTGAAGGCCAGGAGCTCCATGTCGATTGCCATCTCTGTTGAGTCTTCAGTTTCCTCATCTGCTAAAGGAGACATCGGATATGTTTCCATGCTTGCCAAGCTGTCTTAGTACCAGGGGGGAGGTGGGCACAGGCAGGAGAGTGCAGGGAATGGATAAAACTGTGGTGTGATATCAATCTTGATTTTTGCTTGGAGATTTGAAAAAATTGTCATTATTTTCTTTAAAAATCTACTATGAAATAGAATTCGAACACAAATATTCTAATGAATTTTTGAAATAAAATGGATTTAAGGAAGTGAAATTTAAGTATCATCCCCATTCCCTGCTGGGGAAATATATTGCTTTCCCTTGCCCCTAGGTGGGCTTCAACACAGAAGTTTGAGAAGCACTAAATGATTATGAAGAGTGTCTCTGTCATTCAGAGCTTCTTAGATTCAAATTTCTGGCCCCTGAGAGCCATCCCCTGAGAGCTTGGGTTATTTTTCAAACAGCAAAGCTCAACTTGGGAAGTTATGAAATTCTTCCAAAAATGTGTTTGAGCTAGTGAGTCCATCACACCTCACAGCCCCACCCAGAAATATCTGAGAGGAGTGCAATGTTGCCCTTTGGGGAACCTCCCAGGGGTGAGCTTCTCCCTGGAGGGCTGCTGGCTTCACTGGGTGTGAGAGCTGGCTAAAAAGTGTAGGAAAGGTGAAAGGCAAGAAGACACTGGAAGCTGTGGGTGTCGGAGCCGAATAAGGAAGGGGGAAACGGGGAAGACATGGGAGCAAGGAGAGCTTGACAATTGGTGTTGGGGTGTGTGACTGCAGAGGTGGTGAGACTTTTCATAGAATCTGTAGGATTTTGTTTTTGCTGCAATAGAGCAAAAGGAAATAGTCGTGAATCCATTCAGGCTACCGTAATGTATTAGCTCTGTTTCGGGCTCTGTATTAAGAACTAAGGAAAGCACCCAGATGAAGACAGATGAGACCTTTGCCTTCATTGGCACTTATATTCGAGTTGGGGGAGAAACAGAAAACCAGGAAGCAGATTGATTCCTCAATCCAGATCCTGGTAGGTGCTGTGAATAAAATACTAGGAGACAGGCTGGGTCAAGCAAACTGATCCTGGCAAGGGCCAGATGGTGCATAGTTTCCTTTTGTGGCCTGTATGGTCTCTGTTGCTACTACTCAGACACAGTGCCCAACTCTGCTGTTGTAGCACAAAGGCAGTCATAGGCAGTATGCAAATAAATGGCCGAACCAAAACTTGATCCTGGATCCACGATTTGCCAAGTCCTGGGATAAGACAAGCCGGAGGGAGTGTGGAGGTTGTCAAGCAAGGTAACCTGGGGGCCTGAAAGGGTGGACCATGTGAGGGCTGGAAGAAGAGCACCCCAGAAAGGACAAGGAGCACTCGTGAAAGCACTGGGATGAAGGGACACAGCACGTTCCAGGGATGGGGTGAAGGCTGGTGCATCTGGAGTGTATTAAACAGAGTGAAAGAGGCATGAGGTGATGTCACCAAGGTAGGATGCCTCTGAGTCTGGAGTATTTCTAAGTATGACAGGAAACCACTGGAGGATTTCAAGCAGAATGATGATCAGAGAGGCCTGTTTCTTGTCAGAGAAAGGAAAGAAAATAGCAATTTCTTGTTAACAGAGCACCTGGCCAGTGCTTAGCACAAGGAAGTAACTAGTATCTCTGTATGTATTGGTTCATAGGCACTGTGCCTCCAAAGGGTCGTCAAATTGAGGGATAGAAGGGACCATAGAAACCAGCTAGCACATCACCCATATTTTACAGACAAGTAAATTGAAACCCAGAGAGGGTAAATGTTTTGCCCAAGATCACTCAGCAAGTCAGCAGCAGAGCTGGTACTGGAACCCAGAGGAGAGAATGTCAGCAGAGAAACTCAGCCTGATCACAAGGAAGGGCAGGATTATTCTGGATCCAGCATGGTGATGTCTGTTGGCTGTGTCAGTGAGGCCAGAGAGTTCTGGAGAGACACAAGCTGTGAGACAATCTGGAGCAGCAAAGAATTCTAGGTGCTCAGGAGCTGAGCAGTGGCCTGAGAGCTGCAGGGGGTGTTGGGCAGGAGCGTGCTCCCAGTGGCTGTCGGCTAACGAACCAGGGAGGGACACGGGACTCCAATGGGAGAGGCCAGAGGTCGGCAGAAGACAATGGCAAGCACCGAAAGAAAGCAACAAAGAATTGTTTATGAGAGCATTTGATAAGACCTCAAGAAAGCCCAGAAATATTTGAGTGACACTTTGAGAAGAGCCGAAGTATGTAACAGCAAGTGAAACCACTGAAACACGATGTATTGCTGTCAACTGCATCCCATTTTTGCTGCTGTCTCTGGTGTACTCTCAGGAAACATAAATCATGTTGCAGATTCATGTGAGAATATGCAGACCCATATCACTGCCCATTCAGCAAACACGCTGGAACCACCTTAAGTACCTATCTACTGCCTCTTCCAAAACATGGACTTTCCTTGGAGCTGGCATACATACATAGTATTAATGACTCCAGACTGTGCCCAAAGCAAGCACTGGCAAACGAGCCCACTGATCTGGGCAGGATGTGAGAGCCAGAAGGGTCACACCTTTTTTTGGAGCAGAGTAACGCTCGGCAGCAGAAGGGTCATGCTCAGGGTCTTGAGGTCAAGTCTCAGGAGATGGGGCTCCTCCACAAGGAGAGAAGCAAGGTTTCACCGGATTTAGACCTGCTGGCCTGCAGCCAGAGCAGTCTTCCCCTCATTCTTGTGCTAGGGCACCAAGGCCTGGCTCTTGCATAGCAAAGCTACCTTTCTATTTTAAGGGGGGAAACTGCTCTGAAATGTACTTTCTCATTTTAGGGCTCTTGCCTGAGCTCTATTTCTAGTGCCTGACTGGATAACTCTCTCTCATTCCACATGTACATATTTGAAATCTGGCCAGCGGTTGCATAGACCACTCCCTGGAGAGGGTTTGCAAAAGAGAACTGGTTCCAAACAATGACAGGGTCATGCTTTCAGGAGAATGTCAGCATGCATTTTGTAGAGGAGATGTGCACTTCCACAGTGCCAACTCTACTACCTTCTGCCACAGGGAAATTGGAATAATGTTTGTTTCTCTCAAAGAGTAACTGTGGCCTTAGGGCTTTCTGCTAATAAAGATGATGAAACTTCAGGATGTATAAGTAAGAAAATTCAGAGTTCCAAGAAAAGAGTGCTAGCCTTTTCATGACTTTCTCTCATTGGGTTCCATTCCCAACAGAACTGTGGGCCGTCATAGAGGAGGGGCTCAACTTTACTGTAAACAGAACTGAATGTGAGCCATGCTGAGTGGCCTGAATTCCTTTCACTACCTAGGATCTAAGCCTGCATGGGAAAGGGCTGGAGGGAAGCCATGGAAACCAACATCAGTTGAAACATTAGGAGATGATCTTCCACAGTGTGGCTGGTGACTAATGCAGTTAAGGGTGGGGGTCAGCTCCGTTGGCCCAATATGACAGTTATGTAGCTGCCATTGTTCAAAATGTTTCGAATGTGCTTTTGCTGCTCAGAGACAGAAACTGCTCTCTTTCTGGAAATAATGACTCACCTCCTCATCCTCTGGCCCATGCCTCTGGAGTGCGGAGAGCCTGGTTTTTCAAACTGGGATCAAATGGACTGAGACAGGTACACAGGGTTTAGGAAGATGGAGTGTATGTTTCTGGAACATTCATTTCACTAGTAGATTAATGAATAAAAAATAGTGTTAAGGTATTGAATGCACAGAGGATGCCTATTTGTGACCACTCAGATCTTCTCAGTGACTTTTCTTTCTTGGGAAAATGTCCTACATTGTGAGTGCTGCAAGAATTTGCTCAATCTTCCCTCATAGCTAGGCTGTGGGCTGTGTCCTGGGCCACGCCATGCAGGCCCACTCGCACAAGGCTGCACATTGGCAGAAAGACATGTGAGGTGGAGACCTGGAGAAATCCTGGTCTGGGCAGCACTGTGACAGAGGCACCGTCTCCCACATGCAACAGTGGCTGGGTCTCTGTGTCCAGTCCCCGTGGTATCAAAGTGGGGACAGGGCAGCTCTGCTTGGGGCCAGCTGCCATGTTTGTGCTCAAGGCCAGTACCACTGGGGATTCACTGGGACAGCCCCTGAGGGGTGGTTCAGGCATGTTTCCTGTATGTGGAGAGCATGACGCTCTGGTTCACCTACAAAATCTGCAGTTGCCCTTCAATTCTTATTCTGCCTGAGCTCCTGAGGATGTGCTCTGTTGTTGTCAACCAAGAGTTGTAACTACTACACGTGGATACTTTATGGAGCCGAATGCAACATTCATAGGAGTAGCAGAAATAAACAAGAGATGCCAGTGAAATTTCACATTCACATTTGTGTTGGGCACTTTAGGTTGAATCTTTTTTTTTTTTGGTTGTTAGGGGCATTTTGGTGGAAATCCCTGGTGTAAGGTATAAGTCTAGAAAAAAAGAAATGAATGAGATAGAGGAGGAGGCAGGACAAAGGAAAATGAAGGCACAGAGAGACAAATATGCCAAAGAAATATGTGAGTACATATTTTTTTTTTTTGGTTGTTAGGGGCATTTTGGTGGAAATCCCTGGTGTAAGGTATAAGTCTAGAAAAAAAGAAATGAATGAGATAGAGGAGGAGGCAGGACAAAGGAAAATGAAGGCACAGAGAGACAAATATGCCAAAGAAATATGTGAGTACATAACTGCCTGCCTTAAATAGGCTGAGACACACATCGTCCCATGGGATCCTTGTGTCGGCATGGTGGCGGCGTCCGTTTTACAGATATGGAAGTTGAGGCTGCAGAGAGAGACCGTGGGACTTGTCCAAGAAGATAAAGGAGGAAGACAGCAGAGGCAAAAGTTGAGGCCAAGCTGTCTCTATCAAATCCAATGCTTTTCACACTCTGTCTCACAATGGGGCGTTGCTCTATTTCCTTATCTTGTTTTCCTGGAGAGTAAAGGAAACTGAAGCCAAAGAAACTGAGAAGAACCAGAGGGCATCTTTCTTATCCCTCCTTATCCAATGGCTTTGTTCACTACGACTTGTCCCCACCACCCAACCCACGCCAGGGACCAGGTTATTGCAGCCCAGTGGGACAGCCTGGCAGGTGACTCTGCCTGGGCCCTGAGGCCTCAGACGCTGAACCCTCTGTGCAGCCGGTGAGTGTAAACAGTCCTTGGCCAGAAGCGCTTTGGCTTCCAGGGTGCTGTCTTTGCTTTGGCTCCAGCAGCCGCTCTACTTCCTCCTCCCCTGCCCATCTCTCTCCTGCTGTCACATTGCTCTGGGCCTCACATACACGTGGGGCTTTGTCTGGAGTGACACATATTAAAAGGGGCCTGGAAGTGGGAACTGGGCTCTGAGAGAACATCTCCTTTTGGCAGCATGCACCATCACACGGCCTGTGTTCGCTTGAGGCAGGTCTGAGGGAAAGAAGAGGGACACCAGGCCCACTGCAGGTCTGTACCCAGAGCTTCTGGCCACGGGGACTTAGAGCCCAGCACTGCTGGTGAGTATAAAGGAGAAGCCGGAAAGGAAATGGGGGGAGTGGAACCCTCCAAAAGACTCCAGAACTGACTTGCTAATAATTATGGCTGTCATTTATTACCATAGGCCAGGCATTCTGTTGAGCATTTTACATACTTAATCTATCTTCACAAACCTGCAACACGTACAATTATTATTCCTATTTTTCAGGTGAAGACCCTGAAGGGTAAGGTATTTGCCCGAAGTCACGCCAGTGGAGAATGGTAGAGGAGGGATGTGAGAACAGGTCTTGCAGATTACAAAAGCCCTATTTGATTAAACAATTATTAACTTCTCAGGCTTTCGAGTTCTAGATGGCTCACAAACCAAGCAGACCTTCATAAACAGGTAGTACAGTGAATTTAAAATCTTTATCTCCCAGCAGTTGTCTGAGGATTGTGCATCTAAATCCAGGCTGAGCTCCCCAGTGGGTCTACCAAAGAGTCACCCATAGTGTTCATTGAATGCCCACTGGGAGCTCTGCCCCAGTCGCCAGTTCCTGCAGGCTTACCAATCCTGTCAATGGATTCACTGCATCCATACTGGATAAATACAAGAAACCTGACTGGCTGGATTTTCTTTATTTTGTTGGCCATACAATGCCAAGGACATATGGGCTGATACCATTTCAGCTTATTTTTCAAGCCAGGGTTAGAGTCTCCCACACCTCCAAACCCTGTATTGCTTTGCTAGAGAAGGTGAAGTCTCTTTTGGCAGTGTACTTGAGTTTCCTTCCTTCCACACCCCTCTTGACTCCATCCTTGTTCTGAGGATTATGTTTCCAACTTGTAGGGGAAGAGTAGAAATAGATACAGAGAAAATATGATTCTTTGTTTGTCAGAAAAGAAGAATGCCCACTCAGAATCACCTTCCTTAGCATCAGTTCAGCCCTTTGTCACTCAGGCAAGACAGAAAGAGGCAGTTGGAGGTGGATTCTCCATATAACACATGCAAGAGGCCTAGTTTATGGGTCTGTGACTAAATGCTACTATGGAGCCAGGGCATAAAACTTGACCACCAGGATTGCAAATATGTGGCCAAAACAGATTTAATCACAGCACTCCTCTGAGTCAGGATGCGGCCTCTCAAATGCTCATCCAGAGAGTGCTCTCGGCAGCCATTACCAATCAGAGCTCGCAAGATAAAACCTATTTTTAAATGTGAACCAGTCTGTGGGTTCCTTAAGGGCAATGACCCTACCCGATGCATTTGTCTCCCCTCAACGTAACCTAATACAGTATAATCTGGATAGCCCTTAATGTTTGTTGAATAAATGAATGAATGAATGTAACTGTTTAGGCAGATGTGACTTTGCCCTCTTATTCTGGATACCCAGCTTGTGCTTTGTTCACATAGATCCCCTCATGCTGCTTTAGCTTTACAAGTTTCTACACTGATCTGAAAGCTGGGGAACTTGTACCCAGGTGTCCTACAGAGTTGTTAGTGAAATAATCCTTTCTACCTATACATTCCTTGCACTTTTATACGTAAAAGTCAGACAAGATCCACTGAGCCTAAGTCAGAAGCCCTATTAGAATGACAGACACTGTGGTGGATTTTCTCAGCCTCTGATCACTAAGTCTTTGTTCCCAAGCCAAGCTTCTCTGCTTGACTTATTCTTCCCTTGGGATGAGTTCTCTCCTCGGAGGCACCTTATGCAAACAGCCTTCTAACAGACCTGTGTCTTCATTTCCTCAGAGTTTCCTTGTCTTGACTGAATTCCAGCAGCGGATACAGATTATGCCTAATCTCCCTACCCCCATGTGTGGGAGCCCATATGTAGTGGTTAATTATTACTACATAACAAACCACCCAAAAATTTAGTGGCTTTAGGTAACAACCATGCTTTAATTCTTACAAGTCTACAGGTCAGCCGGGTGGTTCTGCTGGTGTAGGTTGGGGTTAGCTGATGTCAGCTATACTCACTCATGTGCCTGTGGTCAGCTTGTTAGGTGACTGGGGGTGGCTGGTCTAGGATGGCTTGCATGGGTGACTTGGCTCTCTTTCATGTGTCTCTGGCTTACTTCCAGCAGACTAACTTGGACATGTTCTCACCATGAAGGCCAGGGTCAAAGAGGGCAAGCAGAAATGGACAAGTGCTTTTCAAGCCTCTGTTGGGGTCAAAGCTGATTATATGAACCAATGAAGAATCAGTGTGGAAGACCACCACTGATGGGCTAGATACAAGGATGTGAAAACTGGAGCCAACAAAGAGAATGTAACCTTCACCGGTGGGAAACATTTGAAACAGTGCCTGGGCATGACTCTGATCCCCTGTATGATGGGAAAAGTTTCATATCAATGACAATAATACTTCAGAGTCTTGAGATCAAAGTCCTCAATTAAAATATTCTCTGGTGTTGAGTGGGTATTGGACAGTCTGCCAGATTTTCCTCAAGGATCCCAACAGATGAAACAAGAAGGAAGGACTTCCATAGATGGTCCAAATTGCTTTTAAGGTACCCAGTTCCTTCCTCTCTGTGCTGGGAGGTAATTTCTTTGTATCTACAGTGGTAGACAACTGACTTCCTGTCACTCCCTGTGTTTTGGCTCTTGTACCAAGCATGGCATCCCATTACTTGCTTCGATATCCAGATCAGCTGTCATCTGGTGGTTTTGATGCTGTAAGTGTCAAGAGTGGGCCTGAGAATTCATTTTTTATGATTCCAGAAGCTTATTTCCTATTTGGTTCTAGCTGCAACTCTTAAGCCAAAGCAAGTTCTCAACTTCAACAGGGAAAACATTCAAAAGCCCGCACTGATTATGACTTTCTAAAAGTTTAAGTCCCTTCACTCCCACCATGGACTAGTTGAGTCCTGTCAGAGATTTGATCATTCTCATGGGCTGGACTGAAAGGCCTCATAAGGATTATTGAATGTAGCAGATTATAAATTGACAATCACCTATAGGGAATAATCTCAATTGTACCAATCTGAAAAAAGCAGGGGTTTTTTTTTTTTTTGCAATTTTTTCACTTTCTGGTGAGGTCTCTGCATTGGGGATAAGGAACAGGGTTTAAAATTCTTCAGTTCCTTGGGTGAACAGACACATGACAGACCCCCATTTTTTATATGTTGTACCCAAGAAAAAAGTCTGAATCAATTCTAGTCACTTTTTTGGTTAAATCTGGATATCAATTCACAACCCTCCTCTACACAACAGTCCACGTAATCGCTCTAATTGATCAGAGCTGGCAACTGAAATGAAAAAGATTTACTACCATGGATAAGGATGAACCAAGGATTCCAAGGTAGAAATGAGTAAAGCAGGCAAATTATGGGTTGAATTGTGTGCCCCCCAAATTTATACATTGAAGTCCTACCCCTCAGAATGTGGCCTTATTTGGAAATAGGGTTATTGTAAATACAATTAATGAAAGTGAGGTTATAGAGTTAAGGTTATATTGAAATATATGACCTAATCCAATAAGACAAGGGTCTTTATGAAAAAGAGTAATTTGGACATAGATGCACCCAGGAATACATCACACAAGCATGTAGATAGAATTGTATAAGCCAAGGGACATCAAAGATTGCCAGCAAACCACCAAACACCAGGGAAGAGGCACAAAACTAGTTTGTGGTACTTCGTCATCCAGTCTTAGAAAATTAACATGTACGTCAAAGAGAATCTTACTTATGGAGCACAGATTATTTCTAGGAGGTTCACAGAGACAGGCAATTTTAAAATAGAAAGCTGCTTAGAAACCAGATAGGCAACTTCTCTCCCCTCAGCCACAAACCCATTTTACAAGTAAGAAGCCAAAGCTCAGAGAAGTTATAGGGCTTGACCAAAGTCACTGAGCCAGCTGGTCAGAGCTGAAATTTAAGCTCTTTTAAACTTTTGGCTGTCAACTTCCCCACACCCAATTTCCATGTACAGTTTGTCATTTGCTTATGTATATATCTCCTCAAATTTATCATGACAACTTGAAAGCAGGGACTATATGCCTGGAATCGGGTATGGTGCCTCACATATAGTAAACCCTCAATAATATTTGCTAATAGTTGTTAATATTTCCAGGGTGTTCTAAGAGGTCACCTTCATGTAGACCCAAGAAGTGATGCTTTTCCAAAAGCAATTCCTATGCTAGAGAGAAAACAGGAAGCAAGCCTTTCTATGTGTCAGGCTGTGGACAGCAACTCCCAATGGCCTGTAAATGATCAAGCCCTGCCCACAGTCAGTCAGCCTGGGTCAAGCAACCTTCTGCTGACAATATGGTGCTCAGGGTGGAGTAATCCTCTAAGAAAGGCCTGCCACTGCCCAAGAGATCTCAGCCAGCCCCCTTCAGCAGTGACAAAGTTCTCTCTGTTCCCCAGCTGAAGGCCTTTATGCTGCTAAGAGGTAGAGATGTTCTTATTGATCTCTACATCCTCCATGCTGCCCAGGGCCCAGAGTTCAACTCATATCATGGCAGATGCCCAATGAATGTGTGTTGGCTTGGACCAACCTCCTATGCAGTTGCCTAGCTGTTGAGTACAAAGAGGAAAATTTACAAGGTGATATCTTGCAAAAAATTGACCTCTGAAGGAATCTCATGTCTCCTTATTTGTAACTCTTCCTTCCCAAAGCTGGAAGAGTATTGAAAGAATCATCAGAATGACACTTTTCAACAACTTAAAATGTATGCCCAAGTTTAGAGAACAAAGCTTTGGTCAGTCTAACATCTGCAGGAAAATCTCCAAGAAGGTACATTTATGATATAAAATGTACATTGTCCTTGATTTCCATACAAACACTTATAAAAGCATTTTTAAAATGGGAAATGCTTATAAAAAATGTGGAACACATTTTATGCAGATGGTAAGTTCTAAATATCATGATTATAGTAAGTATATTAAGTATATCAAGTATATTATACACAATTATGATGTGACATCATAATACGTCTCACTTTCATAATCAGTTTTGGCATTTTTATGGTTGAAATGGGTTTTGAGGAACAAAAACAATCTGTTTTTAATTGAACGGGTAGGAAACCAGGGTAGACTTACACAGGCTTTATTCATGACAGTTGTTCAAGACCTCCTTGGGTGGAAAAGAGGGAATCACAGAATACATCTAGTCTGGCTACATGTCTGTGGGACACAAGTACAAAATGAAAATGCCACAGGAAAGTTGAGAATTTCTCCTCTTCCAATTGCCTGCCACCACAATCCATGAGGCACCTCAGTGAATTACAACCTCCAGCACCCACTGGATATACGGTGAGAGGCCCCCACTGGTCAAACGTACCAGGGCACTGCCAGCCTCCTCCCCAGGACCTCACTGGGAGCATGCCCAACCATGACCTTCCCTGCACCTGCTCCTAGGTCTTCTACAGGGAGCAGAAGGTAGAGTGGGGTCTCCTTGCCTGCTGACAAGACCTGGGCAAACGGTGGCAGCAGTCAGGGAATGGGGGTAGGGAAGAGGAGGCCTCATGAGGTCTGGGACACTAGAGGCTGGAGGTGGTGGGAGGCAGGACCACCAGTGAACTGACCTCTATTGTCCCATCAGACTTCACCTACAAATTAGAAAATCAAAGATAAATTAAGAAATGCAAGCCAGTGATGGCAGTAAGTGAAACCCCAAGCAAGGCCTTCTGAGCACAAGCCTTAGGCAACCACACCAGTTGCATACCCATGAATCCAACCCTGTCTGGAACATTTGCATATGGTTTAGTTTTTCATATAGGCTTTAATAGATGTGTTGGTCACATGTTGAGTGTGTAATGCTTTGTTCAATGCTCTATAAGAGCTTAGCTAAATTGGATTGTGAGATCTTTGGGGGTTAGGAATTCTTTTATTCTTATTTTCCCAAAGCACTTGGAATGATGGTTTTGAAACACAATGCATGAACACCATATAAATCACATATTTTGCCACAAAAGGAGATGCTGAGAGATAAAATATTCCTTTGCACCTATGTGGAGTTGAATTACAGTTTTACTTGTAGCAACATAGGCTCATTCCCAACCAAGGAGTCCCATGCAGTGTTTGAGATAGAAACAGTAGAAGGGGCAATTTCAAGGTACACTGTGAGGAGGGAGGTTTCTGATAAAGATGCTGTTTACTGGCCCAGAGCCTCAGTGCACATCATGGATACATTTGCATCATAAAGCAATTTCCACTCTTCAGAGAGAATTAGGTAATGATGTGCACTTGGAAACTATAAGAAAAATGGAGACATGTCTTAAATGTTGTGGTTAAAAGCTAGAAACCACAACCTCCCAGGGCCTTACTATTGAGGCCTCTTAGTAACAAAATCTCTTCCTGACTCAGTGCATAATTGCCTGGAAGAGGGTGTAGGAGATGAGACCCTTCCATCCTGTAAGTTTCAGACACTCATTGGGTTGATTCATTGGCTCCCTGCTGTTTGAAACCTCTAGGCCAAATGGCTGCTGGGAGCAGTCACGAAGCCAGCAGATGGAAATAGCCCTGCCCTCTGGGAGAAAGAGGATCTCGAGATTTCTCTTCTCATCCTATTACAAATACCATGGAAGCATTTTTGCACCTCTGCCAGTTGCTATAGAGACCGTGTGGTGAACACATGTAAATATTCGGCTTGTGTGCAGTGCAGTTCCTCTCCTACTTGACTTTTCTTTCTGGCCAAGAGCGGCAGTTTGCAGCCACATCAGTAAGCCATGTGGTTTCAGGCATCAGACTCCTGCAGCTCATTTTTAAGGAACTCATCTACCCAAAGGGATTGGAAACACCCCACATTTAGGATCATGAGACCTGGGTTTGAAATGCTTTCCTGTTACTTTTTGGTAGTGGAGAGTTACTCCACCTCCATCTCTCTTCTCATCTACAAAATGGGGAAAAGAAAGCCCCCCTTCAGGTGGGGAGGCTCATGAGGAGGGCCCCAGTGAGCTGTGCGAAGATGAAAGCACCAGGGAGTCAGCAGCATGGTGTGTCGTCACCACGTGCTCCCACAGGCCCGTCAGATCAAACTATGGTCTTATTTAGGCATTGGCCTGAAGAAACAGCGCTGGCTTATCCCCGGAGTGAGCAGGTAGGCAACATCGTTCCTTCTGGAAGCTTTGTGTGGACGTCTCCATGCTCTGCACTTGGTTCTGCTAAAGGCGAGTGAGCTCAGAGGAGCAACCCCAGGCCAGAGGCCTTGCATTTGGCACCTCTCCTTCTAATTTAGCAGGGCCTCCATGGTTATCAAAGACCCCATCTCACAACCTAACATGCATATGAGAACAGAATCACAGCTGCCCATCTCCTCTGACCTTGAAAAAACCCAGGTATTTTCTTATGACACAAATATACCCCCAAGGCTTAGAGAAGCCTGCGGGTACAGCAGCAAGAACCTCCTCCTCAAAGAGGCACCGAGGACCAGAGAGTATGTGTGCACAAGCTCTGGTTTGAATCCCAAAGTCAGCCCCTCAAATTCCAGCTCCTTGTGGGGCTTCTTTTGGGGAATGGGAGGAGAGGCTGAGCCATGAGGGTGTTGTTCTCAATGACCG